GCAGATTGACCTCTATCACCCGCAGATTGACCTCTATCACCCGCAGATTGACCTCTATCACCCGCAGATTGACCTCTATCACCCGCAGATGACCTCTTGTCACCCCGCAGATTGAGCCTCTATCACCCGCAGATTGACCTCTATCACCGCAGATTGACCTCTATCACCGCAGATTGACCTCTATCACCCGCAGCAGATTGACCTCTATCAGCAGCCGCAGATTTGACCTCTATCACCGCAGATTGACCTCTATCACCCGCAGATTGGCCTATCACCCGCAGATTGACCTCTGTCACCCGCAGATTGACCTCTGTCACCCGCAGATTGACCTCTATCACCCGCAGATTGACCTATCACCCGTAGATTGACCTGCGGCTGATATCACGGCCACAAACCCCTTTTTTCATTAGGTGGCAATTTCCGAAAATTTCCATATGGTAATTTCAGAACATCACTGCCTTTTTTATCGGTGGATGAGGGATGCATTTCGCAGAGGTTACAATTGTGCATATATATATATATATATATATATATATATATATATATATATATATATATATATATATATATATACATACATACATACATACATACATACATACATACATACATACATACATACATACATACATACATACATACATACATACATGTATATATATTTTTGTTTTTCTCTCTTGCGAGGTGAGGTGTCATTTAACTAAATAGAACGAATGAAGTCTATCGTTTTCAGGTATTTAAGCTTTAAGAACGCAGACCCATTGTGCGTATGCAGTTACAGTGGCGAACAAAAGTGTTTGGTCTAAAACCCTATAAAAGAAGAAAGAAGAAAGAAGAACAAAAGTGTTTTAATGATTCGAAGCTTCGAATCGGTCTTAGCCTATACGAAAAAGTGCGGTATGAAGCGGATTTTCGAAATGTAATTCGAAACATGTGAGGCAAGCGTTTTTTGACCTTCCCTGTACATGAAGCTATTATCAGGTCATGTTCATGTCATAGATCACACATCTTGGACATATTTGGAGATCACTGAATCCAGTTATCATTCAGCACATGTGGAGTCCGCTCTCCAAAAAGGAAATTATCTACCTGTAAAAGTCAGCATGATGACCAGGTGCGCAATGTGAGGTAATTAGGGCATAACAAGTGATTACCGGATGTGACTGGTCATGGGCGGGGTGATCAGACCTGTCCATTGCTCTTTAAATATAAACGCACACACACACACGCACACGCACAGCACACGCACATGCACATGCACACACACCACACACACACACACACACACACACACACACACACACACACACACACACACACACACACACACACACACACACACACAACACACACACACACACACACACACACACACACACCACACACACACACACATATACTATACGTGTATATAAGTGTGTATGGATATATTGATATCTATGTATATGTATGATGGATGAAGGTAGTAACGCATTTTATATAGAAAATTACACACCCTCCCCGACAGTGACTCGAACCCGCGTCTCACAAGGCGACAAACGCCAGAGAGAGCAGAACCAAACAGCCACGCTAAATGACACAACAAATAGATGTCTAAGCAGAATTTAGACGAGCTTCATGAACATTACCTCTCTACTTACACCAGAGCATGATAGCGAGGTTTTATAGACTATATATATATATATATATATATATATATATATATATATATATATATATAGAGAGAGAGAGAGAGAGAGAGAGAGAGAGAGAGAGAGAGAGAGAGAGAGAGAGAGAGAGAGAGAGAAAAGAGAAAGGGAGAGAGGTGTGTGTGTGTGTGTACTGAGTGTATGTAGAAAGAGAAAGAGACAAAGACAGACAAAGAGCCACCAGATACAGAGTCAAAGCACACACAGAGAGATACACAGGCCTGCATGTGTGTGAACAACTGTATAGTTTCCGTGCTCCTGTCTGCCTTGTACCCTTTGAAATGTTTCAGACCCCAAAGTGAGTGGCGATGGACAGTTTTCCAATCATACCGAGTCCTGTAACTTTTTGTTGATGGAAGGTATTGGATAACAAATTCCTGCAGAGGTAAACCAGGTCTTTTATAAATAAAGGTGTATGGAACACCAGAACGTTTTGTTTATTTGTTGTTGTTTTTATTGAATAACGTTTCCCATAATTTAGGTTAGGGACTTTGTGTGTCATTGGCAAGTTTTGATTTACTTTTTTTTAGGTATTGACAGTTGTCTTTTTCTTTTGATTATTTACGAATACAATAAAACTTTGATTTCTAAATCATGGTACTTTATATACCTTTACCTTCTTGGTGAACTGTTTTTGTTGTTGTTGTTGTTGTTTAATTATGTATATATATGTATATTAGATACTCGTACC